TTTTGGAGCACCTGAGGATAGTGAAACCTGTGGGTTAACCATGGTGGTAGTGGGTACTTGGGGTAATTCAGGACCTCTGGAATCGGCACTTTCGGAGGCTGTGAGCAGCATGTGGGGACAGACTGGACAGCTCCAGGCTGTGTCTGACATGACAAGCGATGGTGTAGCCCTTCAGCTCTTCTGTTTGTGGTTGTAATTCAGTCCACCCTGGCAGCTGATCTAAAGCATTGCAATGAGGGAAGATGTGTGGTTGATGCTGTTTGCTGCCAGCAGATTTCCTGTTTTGCTCGGCAAGGCTTCCTTGCTAGAGAAGAGCAAAGGTGACAGTGTTAGAGGGAAGCTGGGGTGTCACCAGCAGACCAGGGCTTGTTCTGGGCTGCAGAGAGATGACAAGGAAATGTCAGCATTTGTCTCAAGTGTTTGGTGGCTGTTTAAGGTCAAAGACAGATGGGTCCTTCATGAGGACACTTCAGGTGTAGAATTTGCCTGTTTCACACGACATTGGCTGTGACAGCCATAATTTAATTGGGAATTTAATCCTGTCATCTTGTCCTTAAGAAAGAACAGTCTGGTTTCATTGCTGTCTGACCATTTGTCTTTTCATAGGGCAGAAGCTGGGCTCAACCTTACAGATATTTTCAGTGTTGGAAACAAGTCATTCCTGTGTAAGAAACCCTCCTCCTGTTATTTGTAGTAGGAAAAACATATATGCCATGGTAGTAAGAAAAGAGGCATGGGATGTTTGCTTTCCCTCGCTGCTTTCACTTCATCTTGAGTGTGCCCTCCGATGCTGAAACCCTACAGCGTGCACAGAGCAGATGTGGTTGTGGCAGTGTCAACCCTTGCAGGTCTGCTGGAACTCAAGGGCATGAGTGTTCTGTAAATTCAATGATCCTTTAAACCCACCTTGGTCTGAGTAAAAAACAACTTCCCACAGGTATAACTTTTCCCGTTTAGTTTTCCAGGACTAAGTTTTCCAAACTGAGAGGAGAGGTCCTTCTGCTTATGGGGAAGAGAGCAAGATTAACTCAATTGCCCAGCCTCCCCAGTAAAAACAGGAAAAGAATTAGAGAGTTCTATACTCCTGACCCTGGATCCATCACTTGCCACAACAGACAGGAAAGTTGCCCTTGTGGTGTTTCACATGGCACGTCCTAATTCCCCCTCTAAGCAGAGGGCTTGAGTCATTGCTTTTTAATAAGGCTGCCTCCCCACAGGCAGAAGCTGCAGCGATCAATGAGGCTTACTCAGTTCTAGAAAAGGTCATTAAAAGACCATAGATATACATTTGAAGACTGTTTGTTCACATCCTTGATGTTAAAGATGTTCTTCTCTCTCACTTCCATAAGCAGCATCTTAGGGAGCCTCTGTGTGCCGGGTCCTGCCCAGCAGAGGAGTGGAAAGTGCCCCTTGTTGCTGGCACTGTGCCACCAGCTCACAGGGAAGGTGGGAGAGGAAATAAGTGGTCAAAAATCACACTTTTATCACCACTTGGAGCACAGCTTGTCTGGCTGACATCTCCAGATACAGTCTGTGCTATCAACCTTGGTATCCTAGAACTATAGAGAGGGAATAAACCCTTCCCCTCCCTCTTCTTGCGTTCCTTCCTCCTTCCCTCACTGTGGGACTGGATTACTGCCTGGACTATTGCAATAGCATCCCTTTAGCAGCTATATTTCTCCAAAATGTGGGCACTGTGAAGGAATGCTAAAATTGCTGCCAGTATGACACATTTAACAGCTCAGGAGGATGTAAGTATCTCACGTTCCAGTTGTTGAATCGTGAAATGCCACATCCAGCTCAGTCAGCTTTTTGTCACTTGTTGTGTCAGGCCAGGGTTAGTTGATAGCGTGATGGCTTCAGTTTTGAGTTTGTAAGGTGTTTTTTGGATGTTCTAGTCCAGCCACATCTTCAGCTCTGCCTGTGTGATGCTGGAGAACCTCTCTGGAGCAGACATCCCATTTCTGAGCTTCCCTGGGCACAGCTGGTTTGTTGGTGCTGCCCTGGATGTCACACCTTGGGGCTCCCCTGTCATCCCCCACTGCAGAGAAGATTGTGAAGATTCAGATTGCTCAGAAGGGGGTTTGGGATGAGGAAGATTGGCTCCTCTGGAGACCTGGTCCCAGACCTGCCATTGCTCTATAAGGACCACATGTCTCCAGGCATTTCTCTTCCCTTTCTTTGTATTTTATCCTAAGACAAAGATATTGAGGTATGAGCATAAATAACTTAACAGCTCTTATTTTCTACCCAAACTGCAGAGGAGTAAGGGGAACCAGACTGTGCAAATAATGTATAAGGAGTCTGAGATTTTGTTCACCTTCTTTTTGGAGAATAAATGGTGTCACAAAATTTTAAGGATCATTTGCCTCTCACAACGTAAAGCTTCAAGAGCTTTCCATCTTTGAGCAGGGTTCAGTTGGATATCTCCCCTCTCTGATGTGCAGCAGGTGACAGGGTTAGAGCACAGCCCAGTGCCACAAAGCCAGCAGCCAATGCACTCCATGTCCACAGGGGCCCTTTCCCCATACAAAGTTTTCCATTCTTAATCCATACAATTAAATAGGCCAGAGTTCTCCCCACCTAATAACTTTCATTTCCAATTTTCTGTCTTATTCACCCACGTAGACATTCATCTCCAGCCACCGCATAATTCATAACCACCACATTCTCTCTCGTGCTTGATTTGGTTCTAGGTTTTCCTCCATTGTATTTCTGCAAATGTCTAAGCAAATGTGAGCTTTTCCTGTTGTCCCTTTGCTTACATGTGCACACAAATACTTCCCTCCAGTAAAACCCATGTGCAAGGCACGTTCACTGCTCTTAGCCTGCCCCATGACCTGGAGGCATTGGTGGAAATCACACCAAAAATCAGAATCTGCAAACTCCTATTTTGCACTCAGGACAGTGATGTCAGTGCATCAGAAAGCAGCGTGGCTTTATTTATTTTGTAGCTGCCCCAACTGTTCATTTGTTAGCATTTTCAAAAAATTGAATCTTTTTTTTTGTGGTTAGCAGATCCCCAGTGACAAAATCAACATTTCTGCAAGTGTACTTTTTAATCTTAAATATTTTACAAATAGTTTTGAGATGGTTTTGAGACAGAACTTGAGAAATAACTGCTCTTTAATAATCAAAGCTTGGCTCTTCTTTGATTTCATCAGTATATATGAGAAACCTCCCATCTTAGTAAGTGGATTTATCTGGGAGTGAAATCTAGAGGAAAACCCTCATTATTTTACTACAGCATGTGTTTTGCCACTTTGGTTACTGCCTATAATTATTTTCTTTTTCTTTTTTTCTTTTTTTTTCCAGAAAAACAGTTGCTTTAAACAAATCCCAAGGGGCAGAAGTTTGAAACTTTTCACTTTGATTAAATAAACAGTCTTACCAATATCTGGGTAGACATCTCCCCAGCCTGTAGGTGAATTAAGATACTGTTTGTGCTGCGTGTACACTCAAATTTAACTAATAGGAGCCACGGACTGCTGCTGACAGGAATCAGGTGCAGAAGGAATGAAAAAGCCAGTTCTGTTTTCCTTCCACTGAGTTTCACTCCCATTCCACTGCCATGTGCAGTAACAGAGTCAGATCCCTGTGCTGTTGGAAATTCATTCAATGCCAGTTATTTTGCAGGCACAGTATCCATGAGGAACAGCTTTGTTGTAAAATATAATGTGGGATATTGGAGTTTAAGTCATGCTTGTTAATTTAATGAATCTTGTAAGGAGATACTTCACGAACCTGAAGATTTCAGTAACTCATTGATATCCACTTGAATGGCTTTGCTGCTCTGTGTAGTAGATTTATCTCCTCATAGTATATACTTCATTAGTAGATGCTTTTTGACCAAGTTCCTGTGACAAAAAGCTGTGTATATTGCTGTCAGTAATTGGGGCAATGTGAGTGCAGTGAGCAGAGGACTGGCAGAGTTAGGGAAGAGCTGGGTTGCCTTTCCTGCTCTGCAATTAACCTGATTGATGACTTTGAGAAAATCATTTTGCCTTGGCCACTCTATGGCTTCACAGATCGGTACAATGAGGACAGCTGTAATTAGTTTCTTTGAGGAGAGTTTGGATAGTGTAAAAGACATTGTGGAAGAGCTAAACATTTTTTATTAGGCTTATATTATTCCCATATTGCGTATGAAAAATATTATTCCTCATTTATAGATGCACGGCTCTTAGATAATTATGGCTTTGCATAAATATGTAACAGTTTGCTAATTCTTTCTGTGAATATTTCAGTGCTAATATCCTGATCTGGTGTTGTGGTGTGGATCCAATTTTTTGCTCTGGAAGAGATCATCTTTTTAACTCTACTGTTTTAATGCCCATGTGTGAAGTGGATAACTTATTTGTCCATCACTGAAACATCCCCAGCTTACGCTAATTGTCACATTCCCACTGGCTCCAGGTGCAGCTGGATTGAGCTCAGGGCTGCTCAGGAAATAATGAGCATTTATAATAATAGTGAACGAGAGGGTATTTAAAATTCCTTAGATGAACTGTGGTAGCACTGCTGGTAGCACTGTCCCTGATGTGGAGCAGAAGTGTCCAAGGCTGGACACAGTGAGGCACAGGGCTGATTCCTCAGGTGTTGAAGTCCTGTTGACTGTTGGTGATGCTCCCAGTGTTTCCCACTGCTCAGGGTGAGGGTTGGCACTGCCACGGTGACAGGGCAGTGCCATCTCTGCAGTGGGTGGAGATGTAAGCAGCAACTCACTGTTTGCATGGTTTCCATCAGGAAATGGTTTCTGCTGCACCCTATTTCAGAGTTGTGCATAAATCAAGCAGAGACAAAGGTAGCGCTGACTGTGCTCACAAAAAAAGTGACACCTAACCAAATATTAATCCCAGCAAAACAAGGTAGAAACCCTGGGAGGAGCTGACTGAACTATACCTTGCTTTTTTGGCAGCCAAACCCTGCTCCAGTCCCTCTTTCTCTGCCTTTTGCTGCTGCTGCTGCCTTTGTTGACTGACTTTGCTTTTGTCTGGCAGGGAGCTGAGCGACAGAACCACGTACAGATACCAGGTGGTCATTGTGTCCGGGATGGAGGAGAGCGAGCCATCCCCCACCCTCATTTATATCTCTGGGAGTGGATACTGTGGAGATGGGATTATCCAAATGTAAGTCTGGAGCAAGCAAACAGATAAATCTGAGCACATCTCCTCAGCCAGAATCTGAGACTAAGAAGGAATTGATGACCTCTGATGTCTCCTTAAGTTAGGCTGGCTCTCATCTGTAGATAATGACTCACGTGCTTGATGATTACCAGGATGATGACATTTAATTGTAACATAGGCCCTTCTCTCCTGGCACCAGGAGATACAGACAGAGATACAGATAATGGAGTCCAGACAGCAGGATCGATAGGCAAGGACGCTCTGTGCTGTTTATGCTGTTTGCCCGTGTATCCATATCTTTGTACATGTATATGACATTTCCTACCCAGACCTGGTGCTGGAAAAGCTCACGCAGTGTTTGATGCTGTCCCATGTGTGTGGCAGCTGGGTTAACTCTGACACGTGTTGGGGCCAAGTTCCTGGTGCAACCCCTTGTTTGACTGACCACCAGAGCTGGGATGCTTTTGGAGGTGATAGATTTGGCCTCTGAGGGAGAGTGCTGGGAATTGCATGTTCTCAATCAACTCCCCTCTCTTACCAGTCCCCAGGCCACTGAAAATGTAAAACAATCTTTCACAACTACGTTAGAGTTTATCCTTTTACTATGTTGGCCCTTAAGGCTGCTGCTTCAAAGCTTCCTGGCATTAGGTAATTTAATTATTTAAACTATGGAAGTAACAACAAGCAAGTGCTTAATCCAGACAGTATTATTTGCTTGAAATAATGCTGATCAGCAATCACGCAGCACAACTCTGTCAGATGATATACCTGGCAGCAAATATTTGCAGGAAGAGGCCCAACAGGCAAGGAAAGCAAAGAAAACAATCAAACAACATATGAATCTAGGGCAATCCTGGAAAGAGAGGTGGAGAAAGACAGATTAATTTTGCTTTACATAACTTTTCTGCTACTGTTATGTTTGCACATTCCTCAGACATCACTTGTGGCTTTGCAGCAAGTGTCAAACAATAGCTGAGCTGCCTCAGGAGTGAGCAGGAACCAGACTGTGTCACAGCTTGGTTGGTTGTGGCCCCAGTTGCAGCTGTGGCAGCCCCTTTCTCATCTGGTTCCCACTCTTCTCCCCGCACGCTGTCGCAGCCGTGAGGGTTGGCACAAGGCAGGACTCCGTCCCCAACACCCCCTGCTCCCTGTTTGACTGATCTCCGAGTGCTGCCACCTGGAAAAGCCCAGCTCCAGGCTTTATGCCTTGTTATTCCCATGCTGGGGTCACAGTCTGGCCCTTCCAGATTTAATACAAAGAGTTTCAGAGATTCCTGTTCTCTTTTTCCCCACCTGCTGAGCTACAGCCACACCAGCTATGAAGGAAGTTGCTCATATCCTCATCAGAGAACAGCAAGTGATATCCACATGTGCAGGAGGGAGCTGGCCAGGCGAGCCTTGTGAACCAGGAATGATGCAAGTCCTCCCTTAAGGAGGAAGGGAGAGGTATTTTAGGGGTGGGCACACAGAGATGCTTTACCAGATATCAGGGCTTTTGGGGTTCTTCAGAAGGGTTGCACAGACCACCAGGTTGATGCTACTTTGCCAGCTGACTGCTTTTTTCATCTGTGTGCCCTGCCTGCAGAGAACTGGGGGAAGAGTGTGATGACATGAACAAGATAAACGGTGATGGCTGTTCCCTGTTCTGCCTGCAGGAGCTGTCCTTTAATTGCATCGGTAAGTCCAGCTCAGAGCCCTTCAACCCAGGGTGGGCAATAACTCTGTGCAGGGTGCAAGGGAAAAACCAGCAGTACTTTCAGAATTTCCAGCTGAAGAGTTGTCATGGGAGAGAGAAAAAAAAATGGAATTTGTAGGTTTGAAAGGTGAACATATCTTCCCAGCTTCTGGTCATTTTGATGGGAAATTGGTTCTGCTGGCTTTGAAACAGCCCAGGACTTAGGGCTAAGTCAGCCATTGTGGGACTGATCCAAAGCCCATTGAAGTCAGTGGGTGGTTTTCCACTGGCTTCAATAGGCTTTAGATCTGACTACGTGAGAAGACATGAACTGATTTTTTCTGGTAAACAGGAGGAGGAGTGAAAGGGGAAGGGACTGAGACCAGAAGCAAGTCCAGCTGAGGTCACACCTCCTTTGAGTTGCAAATCAATATCTGAGGATCAAAGGTCTGGCTAATCCCCTTTTTCAGAGGTGAAAACTACTTAATCAGATTTCATTTGCAAGCCTGGTTTGCTCTGATTAGCAAAACCTGTAAGCACAATGGCCGGAAGATGCTCGAGCTATCAGGGCTGCAGTTTCGAGTTTTACATATTTATTAAACTCTCTAGGAATGCTGGGGACAGAGAAGGGAAATGGAGACCAATTTACACTGCACCTTCTGTGGAGTATCCCCACCTTGTGGGGTTGCTTTTTCCACCCAGGGGTCTGTGAGGTCTGGGGAAAAAACAAAACATGCAGAGCTTAAGGAACCAAAGTTAATGTTTATAAAGGGTTGGCTTTTTCTCAAGACATTTTATGAGATTCCTTATCTGGACTGCTCAAGCAAACACTCTGTCCCATGTAGTGATCCCATGCCTTCATCTCAGGGCATCAGTCCTCAGCCTGATTTTCAGTCCTTACCAACATTACATGTTGGTAAGTCTGAAAATTGCTCTTTTTTGGCAATTTGACCATTATCTCTTGCAACGAAGAATGGACCTTACAGGCACCATGTTTCCCTGGGGTGGTTAACTAGGGACTGCTTGGCTCATCAGAACAGCTACATTTTTACTTCAGCCTCCCACTCTGTGGGACTTGAGGCCTGATTTGGTGATGTACTTATTTACATATGTAAATAGGTCTATTGAAATCAGGCATATTTATGGTCAAGACTAATTGTGACAATTGGTGGTCTTGAAGTTACATTTGTGTTTCAAGTAACTTACTGCCTTAGAGCCTCAAGCACTGAAAGATTTTAGTCATAATATTTTGAAAGTGGAATAAACACTTACAAAAATGTTTTGGGTTCCCTAGATACTGGGCGTGGTGTGAGGCCAGTTCCAGCGAGGGCTTGGGCTGGTGCTGGATGGTTGTATCTGCATCACCCTGCTCAGGAGCAGGGCTCTATTCCTTGGTCCAGCTTTGACCACATCCCAGCATTACATTTGGACATGAATCAGGTTCTCCCCTGTACCCATCGGTTTTCCAGGAAACCAGGTGATGTGGGCTGGGTGGGAGCTGCAAAATGCTCCAAATAGGTCCATGGACAGGAGTAAGAGTGGGGTGTCCCAAGCCTTGGACCACACAGTGGTGTTCTAACAGAGGTATGCAAGAGTCTGCTTTATGCCTTTGTACATAAAATCATGGAATTGGTTGTGTTGGGAAAACCTTTAAGATCATGGAGCCCAGTTGTGTCATCCAACAACCATTCATCCCCCATCCAACATCCAAGGAGCAGCAACAGGGCTTCCTGAGAGTGTGGGACAAAACTGTCTGACAGCAGTCTGGCTAGAAAATGAAGCAACTAAAACATAAAGATTTTTTTACTCCATGACAGAGGAAGTGGGTTTTCAGATTTGCTTGTATTGGAAAGAAGAGGGGAATTCCAGGGACAAAAAAGTTATTTGTTTGTCACGGGCTTTGGAAGGTTGTGGTTTGCACAGATCCTGGGTTACAAAACAAATGATATCAAATTCCTCGTGAAATATCAAATATAGGGACTCAGATGAATCAAATTAGCTGAATCAAAGGGAAGGTGAAGGAACAGAGACCTTACAAATGTTTTGTTGTGTGACTTTGCTGTGGTGTGAGTGCTGTGGTGGTGATGGGCTCAGTGTTTGTGAGGGCAGCCCTGCTGCTGTTTGCAGGCAAACGCTGCCTCCAGGTATCTGGGACAGGTTCAGAGGGGCTAATACCCTCTGAATATAATACCTGTGAATAATAATACCTGTGAAACACATCCTGCTGGCCCTTGTGATAGCTGGACCCCTGTGAGTTATGACCCAGAGAGTTAAGGAGACACTGCCAGTTTGTCTTTCAGACGAATGAACGGTGCTGATTTGTATTCTGCTTGGTATATCAGGCATTAAAATCTCACCAGAAAATATAAAGATGTTGGGGAAAGTGAGTAGCTGTACATATTACATAATAAATAATAGTAAAAAAGAGCAGAAATTCAGCATTCTCCACAATCTAACAATATCAGACCTAATCCTCTGCCTTAAGCTGAACAAAAGTTTTCTTTGATATTGGTGGGGTGTTTTCCTGGAAAATACAGAATTCTTGGGTCCCTGCTTGAGGAGCACAGAAAAATAAGTGTAATTTATTTCCATGTTTACAAGGCTAACACATGTTATAATCCTGTAGAACAACAAGCAGTTATTTCAGAGAGTGTTATTTTTTCAGTGATGTTCTTGTTGTATTATGTAGCTCTTTAGAGCCCCGGGAATCACTCCCCTTCACCAAAGAATTCAGTGAGCCTCAAACACATGTTCAGAGGCTTTGCTGAATCGGGGGCCTCAGGGTTTGATCTTGCAAATGCTTTCTTCCAGGCATGTTTCTGAACTACCACAAGGCATTCTTTAGACTTCAGCAAATCTAACCACAACAGTGAATGCAATGCTTGTCACAAATTGTCTGCAGGATTGGGTCCCACGTGGCTGGAAAGAACTGCTAAACATTTTGTTTGCTAAAGACGGGGCTGAAGGGGCGTCGTGGGCGGGTTCCAGAGGAGGAGGTTTGATAGCAAAGCCCAAGTGGGCTCCTGCCTCCTAAAGCAGAGACCAAGCAAGACACCTCGCTTGGTAGGAGAGAAATACAACAGAGCCCGCAAGCACCACCAGGCTTTAGATTCAGAGCCATGAATCACAGAATAATTTAGGTTCAGAAGAGTCTCTGGAGGTCTCTGGTCCAAGGAGGGCCAACTTCAAAGTTAGAGCCAGCTTCAAAGTTGGAGCGTGTTGCTCAGGGTCATGTTCAGCTGCGTTCTGGATATTTCCAGGGATGGAGGCAGCCTGTTTGCAGGTGTCCCTTTGCCTCTCTCACTCCCTTTGCCTTTTAGGATCATGGGGTTTATGGGATTTTTTAATTGGTCCAACTTTCCTTTGACTAAATGGCACAAGGCTCTCAAGACACTTTGCGCTAGTGCCTGTAATAAAATTAAACTTCTTTTTATTTTTTGTCTTGCTTTTGTTTTTCCTCCTTCTTTCCTCTCTAATCAGATAACAGTGGATCAATCTGCTCTGCCAGGGAGGAGGGGCGCGGGGGGAGGAAGGAGGGAGGCAGGCAAGAAAACTGTGTGGTCTCACTGTCAGGCTGTCCTGGCCTTCTCCAAGCACAAAGCCGAGTAACAGAAAACAGAGAAGATTAATAGCATTTTCTTCCTGCAACATGCTGAAGAGCGACAGTGAGATTAATTAATTAATTATTGGAAGCATCTGGCAGTGCTCCGTTTTTTAAGTTTTGCAGCACTCTCGCCCTTCCCCGTTGTGAAATTTATCATCTCTACCTTTTCTCCCCGCCTCTACAGCCGCTTCATGGAGTGGGTTTTGCATTTTTTTTTATCTTTTCCACACAGAATTTTGGTCCCACGGGGGAAGTTCTACTTTGCCTTTTGATTTGTAGGAGACAGGTGATTCAAAGCCATGTCCATGTGACTGATGCACCCCTCTCCTACCTCTGGGCTGCTTTCCTTCCACCTTGCTCCTGATTATTCCCGGGATAACTGATGCTTGCGGTTACCGCGGATCTCAGCCAAGTCCAACCCAACACGTCCTGTGTAAAACAGACCCCATTTGTAAGAGTTATGATTCGCAGTGGTGGGAACCCGGGGCTTAGCACTTGATCCATTCCCAGTGGAGTGCTGAGAAATGGGTGTCTGAGGCACAGCTGAGCACCTTGTCCTTGACGTGCACTCTCCCACACACCGACACTGCACGCCCAGATGTATGTGGGACATTGAAAAAGAGCCCGGCTTTCATTTGCATTCCTTTTGTGGAGTGGGATGTGCATTATGCATTGATTTAGCTCACCAGTGCTGAAGAAAGAGAAGGATATAATAAAAAAGATGCAGAGATCAATAAAAAGGGAGGGAGGGGGAGAGAGAGTAATCTGAAAAGAGATGAGTAAAGACTGATAGACACATTGAAACACAGCTGGGAAGTAGCTCCAGAACTTCTATCTCCCCTTAAGTTTGCCAGGTAATTTATGGGGTTTTCAGTCACATCTTATTGGTGTTGTTATTGCTCTACTTTATCTCCTTTGCTTATAAGGGACTGTTGGCTAAAGCCTTTTTACAGCAAAACAGGGCAGTGCTGCCACTGACTTCCAGATGGGAGTGGTCACCCTGAAGAAGGGGAATGTTTCAGGTTAGACACACATCTCACTGGTGTGTGGGATCAGGGCCTCAGGGATATAAAATACAAAGAAAAGACACAGAGCAGAGGCAAAGAGAAAATAAATATATCTAGCTCTTGAATTTACCACCAATTTCTGGCATGCTTGAAACATTAGTCACCAGTGGTTGTTCAGGGAGAAGTATGATTTTAATTTGACAATGATCCTTAAACACCTTTTCTTTAGCTCCTGCTTGGCCCCAAATGTTTTTCTGCTACCTTACAAATCTGGATCTGTCTTCCTCCTCCTCAGAGGCCCCTCCCTCCAGCTGTGAGCCTTACCTTTGTGGGAGCTCTATCCTTTACCTCTCCCATTATCCATAAATTAAGCATAGCACTTTCCCCTAAT